CATGTCTATATCTGGTAATCTGAGCAAATACCTTGAAGATAACAATATGCAATATAATAACCATTGTTAATTTCCTATCATCTTGTGTTGAAATTCTGCATCATTTTATTGTTTTTTATTCGTTTAAAATTAAAAGAATTTATTATACAATCTGCTAAAAAAAAAACAACCCTGCACATTGCCCACACATCTACAATGTGTGCACATCTTCATGGTGCACCCCCAAGCTGCTTTGGAGCCAGTCCTTCTGTTCCTAGACATACATGGAAAGGGCTCTGCATGTGTCACAAGTCTGCTCCTGAGGCTTTACATGATGTTCTCAAGAGCCCTGTCTGTAAGAATCCAACCCCACTTCATGTTTTGTGAAGACTTCCTAATTCTGCAGTCATTTTTTGAAAAAAACAGGCCATACTTCAATTGTTGTTTTTGCTCTGGCTTCTAGGAATCTCATTAACACAACACATTCTCAATCAAAATAATGAACACCTCAAATTTGGCACTGTCTTCTGTCTCCATTTTTTAAATTTTACTTTTATTGTTGATTTTCTTGTTTTTATATTTGTTCAATGCATTTTCCAGTTCACCATCCCTTCCCACCCTTACCAAGAAAAACAGAGACAAAGATGCACATTCAATTCTTCTGTTCTAATGTATCTGAAAGTTTCTTCTAAATTTATCAAATAAATGTAGAAAAAGTCCCTGTCTATATGCAGAACTTGTAACTTGCTGGATCTCTAAAGCGAAGGCTGTTCTTCACAAGTGTGAGTGGCTTATGCAACAAGGATTTCAGGGCTGGGATGTAGCTCAGTGGTATAAGCCTGCCAGGCAAGTGCAAGGTCTGGAGTTCGATTCCCAGTTCAAAGAAAAAAAAAAAAGAAGAAGACGAAGCATTTCAGAGCTTTACCTCCCCTCAGCACATCATACTTCCTTTACTGAGCTATTTCAAGCTCAAAACTTATAAGGTAGTCTATAAGAACAGTAGGATTGTGTCAGTGTGGATCGCGAAAGCCACTAATCCCATACCACACGGACAGTTGCTTCCCCTCCCCGCTCCCCCTAAGTTACCCTTATTTGTTTTTCATCTCCCCTGGATATTGAAAGTGCAGCAGGCTGGATATACTCTCGATCAACATTCCCAGAAACAGAGAACTGACATTGATCTTCTCACTGAGAATCCCTTTAAACAGCTGATGGTTCCCTGATGGGAACCCTGACAGCTCCTGGGCTGAGGACCTGAGCTTCATCTGCAGTGTCCTCTCCACTTGGGCAGCTGGCAAAGAGGGGGAAATTCATTATCATGCTAATGACGTCCTATTTAAAATTCTAGCCCTGATTATTCTGTGATTAAATCTCTCTCCTTGATGTTAGCTGACTTTATATCTGAGTTACAGTGCAAAATCAACAATACTAATAAAGTACAATACAAATACCAAACTTATACACAGGAGATGGAAAACATGTATCTAAATTTCAAGATTGTCTTTTCTGAAAAGCAGACGCAGCAAACTAAAAATGTTACTGATATTTGTACCCTACTTTCTCTTCAAAAATTGAAATCCATGCTCATGAGAATTTTATTCTTAATTTTCATTAGTATTCAGGGGGTGGAAGATACATTTAGTTTTTTATTCTGGTTTCACTATACTTAAAAATGCTTCACCTATAATCCCAGTGCTGTAGGAGGCTGAGATAGAAAGACTATAAATTCAACCCCAGCCTGGGCAACTTAGTGATTTAGTGAGACCTTCTCTCAGAAAAGGAAAAAAAAATGAAAACCAAAAAGGGCTGGGGATGTAGCTCAATGTGAAGGGTCTGGGTTCAATTCCCAGTGCTCAGGAGCAGGGAGGAACCGCTCAGGATTCAATATGATTTCTCAGAGTTATCAGCTCTGCTAGTGTGAGTTAAGCCACACTTCTTTCTCACCCCTTCACCAGGACGGTGTCAAGGGGACAAAGGTCTATAGATTCAGGGACGCTGTCTGCCTTTACGTTTAAGACTCCTGCATGTTTCAACCCCTTTGCTATGCTACTGTTCTGTCAGCTGGCACTCTAATCCAAATATCCAACTCATACAAGTCAAGAAACAGTCAAACTTATCACGACTCTCATTAAACTAGAAAGAAATAAAGAAGCAGAAAACCCAAGGTCTAGAATAGCAATCCAGATAAAGCAGAAAGGACTCATGTTTCTTGTTAATATCTGGCCCCTGGAAATGAACAAATACTTATAGTGTATTCACTATTTTAGAATGCACCATACTAAACCCTAAAGTGATCCAATAACTCATAAGGCCAGTGCTCTGTTCCCAGGGGACCCACACTGAGCCGGGAACACAAGACACAACAATGATCTCTAGTGATGAGTGGGACAGGTTCATGGAGCTCTCTATAAGAGAAACAAGGTTAATTGGTCCCCAAGTCTACAAATCTCTTTTCCTACAGAATCAAGATTCCAAACTTCAGCAGGACACGTGACAGCCCAGGGTAAGGATGGATCCCAGCCACCCTCACAATTACCTGTCACCATATACCAAGAATAAGTGCACAGGTATGTGGCAATAGTAGAAGTATGGATAAATTCATAAGGGAATACATGAGCTCACTCCTTCTGGTTGCACCTAGACATACATATGGCCAGGTCAGCCATCTTGGCCTAAACATCACCTACCAAGAGGCCAGAACAAAGTAGGAGAGTCTGGGTCCCTGACTGGCAGGGTTGCTTGTCCATCCCTCCACTGCCTTTCCTCTCAAATGCTGCGTACCATGACCATTGGAAATCAAAACATTTTAAGAACCTTAGCTATCACGCATTTCTCAGTTTCATTTTTAAATGTTTTATCTATGATCATGGAGAGCCATGACCCACACATGCACAGGCATGATGCACACGCAGACTACTCCTGTGTACTTGAGCTACTTTTAAACACACAGCTCCTTTTGAATAGTTAACTCTCAAAATCCAAATGTAGCTGCATATGGACTCTGGCCTAATTTTGTTACACTTCAGTAGATAACTTGCTCAGGCATTCATTTTTATTTATTTATTTGTTTTCTACACTCCTGGATTATTAATTTGGGTCACCCAAAGTCAAGCCTCCTCAGAGTGGTTAAAAATTAGCTTCAGCCTAAAGCCTGTATAAATCCACAAAGAGGGAAAAGGGCAGCTGATACAGCAAAATCACCAGGAAATACGCAGGGAGCCATCTGCAGTGGAGAACCATCCATGGTAACAATCTCTCATTCCATGTGTTTATGTTTTATTCATCATTTTGAAAATACTTAGAGAAGTGACAATGATGAGATTCAAAGAGTACTGCACAGTCCTTTTTTTTAAAAAAAAAAAAAGATATTAATGGCTTTCAGCAACTATTCAAATGAAAATATTACTGGACTCTCAAATATAGAAAATATTTATTTCTTTATTCTCAGATATCATCTATTTATCTTTATTCTCAGATATCATCTATTTATCTTGTGTCAAAATCTAATTGTGACACGATGAAAAATTTTTACAGTTTTCATTGTTCATGTATATTTAAACAATCCACTTAAAATATACAGTGCTCATTCCTAGCATGGCCCAATACACCAGGCTGCAGTGTCTTCGGTGAATACGTTATCATTCCTCAGTACATTATTTAGGCTCAAACGTTCAGTCATTACCATGTTTGTCAAAAAAACAAGGTTTGACCTTTAAAAGTGAGAAGAAAAACAGATAAGCTCTGGTTTGTTGAGCCAGCTCGAGCATACATCCCTGAGATTCACAATAACCAGGGAATACGCACTCCTTAGCTCAAACTCTGTGAAGAGACAGTTCTCTACACAATTTGAGGGGCTTTTAAAATAAATTTTATTCATCCTGAAATGCCACACCAAATTTCTGCTAGCTGAATTAATGCTTACTTGGTTTTTAAAGACTAATCTTCATGTATAACAATTTGTGGAATATTTTCAAAGATTCCCACTCAAATCTGGTTCTTAATATTCTATATTTTCTCATTTCTTTTTAAATGCGCAGACTTTGTTAACATAGCCATCTATTCATTCATATATTCCTTTCACTTTCCTAATAAAAGTATTTATTTAGTGACCATCTTATGCTGTCTCTGACCTCTGCTCTCCAGCACCATCTAGTTCTTAGGGGTAACAGACGGACACACACACATGCACATGTGCACACACACACACACACACCCATACCATATGTAGACCAGGATCTTTTGATCCGTACCACTGAGTCTGCCCGTGAGATAGATGTTATTCTTCTCATCTTCATAGTGAAGAAACAGGTTTCAACATCTACTTTAAATCTGAATTTGCTTCTAATGGTTTCACTGTGTATATCAGAAACTGAATCAGCAGAAATTCTCCACATTTTTTCAGAAATAGGTTTTCACTGTCTCGGTTTGGACTGAACTCTCACCTTTGGAGGCTCACAGGGTACAGCCCTCAAGGTGACCTCAGTTTTCTGGACAGCAGCAGGAAGAGCCTGTGAATGTGTCAGCTCCTCTGACACGCAGACACTGCACATGGCAGCACCAGCACTGTCCATACCATTCTAGGGGAGCTGGAACCTCAGAAGAGCACACGAAAGGGCCCCTCCAAATCCTCTTCTCAATTTCCTAGAGTCAATCTGTCATTGTACAGACCGGAAGGCTGAGCCAAGGGACAAAAGCAAGATAATATCAAGTAAGGGAAATGTTCAAGATCCACATCAATGGAGCGAGAGTTCCAAATTATCACAAGGCCATCAGCAAACACTGAGTGGAGGACAGGGTGGGGGACAGAAGAAGTCACATGTGAATACCAAAACCACAGCCAACAGGTAACTCCAACACACTTGCTGAGGCTCCTGCCAAAGATGTTCCCCAGGAGGAAGGCTGTGTGTTCCATTGATGCCTTTCACAACGAGGTCATCTGGAGCACGGAACATCTGCCTGGCCTCAGGGTGCAATAAATACCACCAACAAATTCCCCCAGGGGCCCAGTTGGTGCTACTCACTGTGCTCAGCCTCCTGGCGCTGCAGTTCCTGTGTCAGCCGGCTGTGGTCTTCCACCATGCTGGCCAGCTCTCCTGCAGTCGAAGACCTGAGTGCCCACAGCCTTTCCAGAATGGGCTCCAGCCCTTCTCGCTCTGAGGTCAAGGTGCGAATCTCTTCTGTGAGGTCCTTGGCTGTGCCGAAATGGCTTCCTATAGCACAGTGAGGGAGAGAAGGATGGAGAGAGGCGTTATAGCATCTGCAAACATGAAGAACTAGCAGCAACTAAGGCATGTCTGCAGCACAGGAAAAGGAACCCTGCTCACATGGAGGCACAGCTTCCTTAAGGGCAGTCTCTTGAGGAGCCAGGAAAGCTCTACTCTCCTTCAACTGAAACACACCCTTCCCTTTACCACCTTGTTCTTGCTATGTCTGTGACAAGGTTGCCACTGGCTGATTCATATCCTGTGAAAAGGGTGATACAAAAAGCTCTCATTGGGACCAGTGAAAGCCACAAGATATTATGCTATTCAGTAACCAAATGTCAAAGTGGCAACATATTATAGCACGGTCGAAAGAGACTGGTCTGTGGAGTCAGGCCAGACCCAAATTAAAATTTTAGGCCTGCTGTTTCTCAAACTGCATAACGTGGAGCAAGGAAAGTAGCACACCTAGGACACACATTTTATAAAGTATGATCATAATAAAGCCTAAATCATAAGTAGCTACAAAAACTTCTGTAAAGCACTAAGCAAAATATATGGCACATGGAATGTAACAAGATACAGGTCAATGGACAAAAACCAACCTAAATACTGACCACAAATTATTGGAAGATGATTCTTAAAATACAGTTTATATTTTAAAATCAAAAATACTTAGGTATAAACTTTAAAAAATATGTGTAAGAGCACTATAGTGGCAACTTTTTTTTAAAGCTGACTGAGAGAACGTAAAGATTTAAACAGTTAGAAAAATAAACTATAAATATACATAAGAAAAATGTTACAAATATTTCAATTTTCCTCAGATTGATTTATTGACTTAATATAATCCCAATCAAAATTTCATGAGGTTCTTCAGCAGAAATTTATCAGCTTATTCTAAAATGTAAAAGAAAATGCAAAAGCCTAGATAAACCAAACCCATCCTAAACAGTTAGTCTCATTTTCAAGACTAAAGTCATGACTACCGTAAATCAACACAGTAGGACATCAGCATACAGAAGGACAAGTAGATCAATGGAATAGAATAGGTCAGTTCAAAAGCTACATGCTCATATGGTCCAGCATTTTTCAACAGTGCAAAGCAAATCAATGAGGAAAAGAAAACAACATTAAAACAACTATATAAGGAGTACATTAACTTTGGTCTCTATCTCAAACCATGCATAAAATACAATTAGAGGTGGATCACAGATTGTAGAAAAGTTAAAACCACAAAACTTCTGGAAGGAAATATAGGGGAATATCTTATTTACTTTGAAGTAGGTAAAAACACTGCATAAGATAAAGAAAACACTAACTATAAAAGAAAATAATTAGGAGCTGGTGATTTAGCTCAGCGGCACAGCGCCTGCCTGGCAAGCAAGAGGTCGTGAGTTCAATTCCCGGTACAGGAAAAAAAAAAGAAAAGAAAAGAAAGTAATTGATAAATGGGCCTTTATCAAAATTATAGACTTCTGCTCATCAAAAGGCATCATTCAGAAAATGAGTATTCAGGTAGTAGACTTGGAGAAAATATTTGCTGCACATATATCTGACAAAGGACTTGGATCTTGCAGCTCAACAATTAAAACACAAATAACACCATTGAAAATTGGGCCAAAAAAGGACTTCACATGCATTTTACAAAGTAAGATACACAAACAGCCAATAATCATAAGAGAAAGTCTTTGACATTATCAGTGATCAGCAAAATGCAAATTAAAACCGTGGAGATTCTACTATAAACTCATTGAAATAGCTCGAAGTAGCTAAACAGAAAAGGTCAACACTGAGGGACCCAGAGCTGCCAGAACTCTCACACAGGCACAACAGTACAGCTCTCAGAGAATGCTTTGCCGGTTTGCGTGAGTTAAACCTATGCCCATCCTGTGACCCAGCAACCATAGTTCTGGGTACTAACAAGACAGAAATTAAACATGTAATCATAAAAAAAAGCCATGTACTCAAAAGTGCACAGTAGCTTTATTTGTGAAAACCTAAATCTGGATGCAACCTACATGTCTATCCACAGGAACACACAAAAATGGTGGCATGTCCACACAGTCTGAGATCACTCAGCATTACAAGGCAACAGCGATTCTTTCATGCAGCGGCATAGATGTGGCTCAAAAAAAAAAAATGCAAAAGAGTACATGCCACCAGATTCCACTGACACTACATTCTAAACTGGCCCATGGTGGAAGATTCCAGAACAGTCATCTGGGAAGGAAGGATAATACCTGGAAGGAAATGTTTCTAGAGTGATAAAAACAGTTCTCATCTTGTTAGGGCTGCTAGTAAGACAGGTGTTGCCAAGCATGGCGGCACACGCCTGTAATCTCAGCACTTGGGAGACTGAGGCAGGAGGATCATCAAGAGTTCAAGGCCAACCTCGGCTACATAGGGAGCAGGCCAGCCTAAACTACATAGTAAGACTCTGTCTCAAAAAAACCCAGATAGGAATCAAAGTTCACAGAACAGTACTCTTAAGATTTATCCATTTCATTGAATGCAAATCACACCTCAATAAAAAGGGAAAATTTAAGTATGAAAATTAAACAAAAAATTAATAAATATATCACATCAGTGCATGCTTCATAACAATAGCTACCATTACAGGGAAACTCCACGGCATTTGCTAAGACTTTATTGTACCCATAATGACAAAACAGATAGGAGCCTTGGGAGGAAAATTATTCTCAACACTGCCAAGTCTAAGATGCATTTTTTCTTTTAACACCGACATTTTTTCAGTTGAACATCAGATGTGTCTCAGGGCCACCAGCCTGGAGAAAGTCAGGGTGCATGTGTCACAATGCATGTGTTATTCCTGGTGCCTAACTGACCACTGAAAAGCCTTAGTGTTTCAGCACACAAATCATGCCAGAAACACTTCTTGCTGTTGACTGAAAACTTTCAGTGGATGTCGATTTGTAAAATCAGGAGAGCACCTGCATTCAAAACTTGACAATAGGCCAGGCCTGGTGGCATATACCTATAATCTCAGCACTCTGGAAGGCTGAGGCAAGAGGATGGCCAGTGCAAGCCCAGCTTGAGCAAAATAGTGACTTAGCAAGATCCTGTCTCAAAACAAAAAATAAAATAAAAGGGGCTAGAGATGTAGCTCAGTGCAAAGTCCTGAGCTCAAATCAATCGATCAATCTTTGAAGAATGGTATTAGCAGCTTGACAGAAGACTTTGAGAAATCAGTATTATTGGGGGGAAGTTGCACCCCCAAAAGCTCCCAGGGCACAGAGGATGATAGCATATGGGAAGACATCAACTCTAACAACCTTGAACCTACAAATGTTTCAAAAGCTCTGAATATGAAGATGAAGAAGCCTTAGAAAAACTTTAACCAATTTATTTTCTTTTCTAGGAAAATTAAAGCCTAAATACATCTAAAAGAGTTATTTCAATAAGTACAAAATGAAAATTTTTAGCCATGGAAAGCACTGTGTCATTGTTTAATTGACAGCAATTTTTCTTCCTTTGTAGTATATAAAATACAGGCACTTTTTATGTTCACAGAAATACACATGGTTATCTCTACTTTGCAGCTGATAAAACTGAAACCTGGAGAATTCAATGTCTTGCTGAAGGTCACAAAGCAATAAACAACAGGGCAAGCTTCCACCTCAAACATGACTCCAGAATCCCCTCCCCTCTTAAATACTGAACTCTGCTGCTTACTTCTTTATTACTGTATGATGGGCAGATTTCAAATGGATATAAATGTTGAAAATGTTATATTTTCCAACCTTAAGGGCATTCTGAACACCCAGCACATAATTCTGCCACCGAAATCTATGGTTTCTAATTCCATGGTGGGAGAAGCATCTTTTGAAATCCTGTATATCACTGCATGTGGCAGCACCACAAAGAGCATAAAGAACAAGGCGCTGCCTGCCCCCTGGGAAATGGCCACAAAACAAAGGGGACAAGATGCATTATAAAGAATAGGCAGAGGTGCACTGGGAGAGTCAGAAAAGACAGTTTGCTCCAGAGGGGAGACTGAGCAGGCCTCACAGGAACAAAATGTAAGACTTCCAGAAGCAGAAGCAGGAATCTTAGTTAGAAAGCAAAGGTAAGTGGTACGAGATCGGCTGACAAAGAAGCTAGTAGCAGAGTACCCCAGATGCTGGTGGTTTAGGCCAGTTTGGGGAACTATACCGCTAATGCCACAGGAGCAGTCTAGACTTCTGCAAGCTTTCAAGTCTTAAACAGAAGCAGCTACAGCAGGCCCCTCGCTGTGGGAAGCCACAGAAAACTCAGAGCAAGCCCGGGGTCCTGGAGAGCTGACAAGAGGACCTGCCTGAAAGTACAGCACCTGGAACAGAGGGGCCAGGCCCAGGCTAGCAGCATCAACTCTCCTGCCAGGCTGGGCCTACAGAACCCTGACCTCTCTGCTGGGCTACTTTGGACAGTGGAGTGGGCACCAGCTCTGCTCCAGAGACAACAACAAGACACTTACACTGTGCTATTTCCTCCCGCAAACAGTTCAGAGAAAGAAAAGACTCAGAATAGCTGAGAAAAGTGACATACAAGGAGCAAATGTCCATGCAAAAGCTCTGCTGGAAATGTGCCCTCTGAGCCCTGCTGCCCTTTGCTGCTCTGGAAGGCAGAATCCTTACAAAACACCAGAGACAGTTCATTAAAACACGGCCCTTCCTGATCCTGAGGTCTAAGGCTTGGGAACATGCATGCTGATAGAAGTGAGCACTTCATCTGTGCAGAATGTGTGAATTTCCAGAGACAGGAATTATCAAAACTCAAGCCATGATAAAATGCTACACTGCCCAACTTCATATTTTATAAGCATTCTGACCTCCCATCCAAGCCCTGGAGGCAAGCCTTGCTCAGTGAGACAGACCCTCCCTGGTTGCTTAACTGGTCAAGAGCTAGTGACAAAAATTCAGAAAGGCAGGGCTGAGCCTGGAGGAAGCTCACGAGCAACCACGACTCCAGTCTCCACGATGCTAATGGGCCGCAGGAGGGCGTATGTG